GATTTACTCAAATTGACAGTTTGACCAGTGAAGATCTTGTACCTCTCAAGGATAGATAGAATAGAGTTGACCTGGTCCAGAGAAGCCTTGCAGAAAAGCAGAGAGTCATCTGCAAAGAGCAGATGGGAGATGGCAGGACCATTTGCAGAGATTCTTAACCCAGTGAGCTGTCCAGTTTGGGTTGCATTGGTGACAAGAGCAGAAAGAACTTGAGCCACTATGAGAAAAAGATAGGGGGAAAGAGGGTCCCCCTGTCTTATTCCTCTTGAGGGAGTCACAAAGCCACAGACCTCCCCATTCACCTTGAAAGAAAAGGAAGAAGTAGAAATGCAGATCATAATAAGCCTGACAAAATCTTGATGGAACCCCATTTGAAGCATAACTTTTTTAAGACACACCCACTCCACTCTGTCAAAGGCTTTCATGAGATCAAGTTTTAAGGCCATAAAGCAGTGCTTGCTGGAATTATGTCTGTTCAAGAAATGAAAAGCTTCTTGCCCAATTACCACATTATCCATGAGTTGTCTGCCTTTAATAAATGCTGACTGAGAGTCACTAATACAACCATCCAGACAAGTCTGAAGTCTAATAGCAAGGATCTTAGAGATAATCTTGTAAATGACTGAGCACAGACTGATTGGCCTAAATTGAGTCACATATTCAGGATTGAGGCATTTAGGAATAAGAGAAACAATGGTGTGATTCCAGTATTTCAGAATAAGGCCCTTATCATTAATAAAGCTGGAAATAGCAGTCACTACATCAGATTTGATAATTTCCCAAAAGGATTGATAGAAAAGAGCAGTCATACCGTCCTCGCCCGGAGATTTATCAGGGTGCAGGCTAAAGAGTGCTGATTTGATTTCTTCCTCAGAAGTTGGAATGAGTAAGAGCTGGTTCATCTCCTCAGTAACAGATGGAGTAATAAGAGGGAGAATAGAATCCCCTCCCCAGGATCCCTCTGTGGTGAAAAGGTTGGAGTATAATTGAGTGATGTGATTCTGAATCGATTGTTGGGAGTCACAAATGGTGTTCTGATTGGTAAGCAACCTTGTGATGGCATTCAATCTTCTTCTGGACATGGTGTAAGCATGAAAGAATTTGGAGTTGTTATCTCCTTCCTTAGGCCATTGAATTTTGGCTTTTTGCTGCCAAAAGAGTTCCTCATTTCTGTGAGCTGTTTGAAGTTCTTTTTTGGTTGCCATCCACTCCTCCCAATTGCTTGAGATTCCTCCTTCTTGCAAAGAATTCAGTTTTTTGGAGAGGTTTTCAATATCAGATTGGTTCTGGGACTTGAAAGAAGCACTCCAAGTAAGAAGAGCTGTTCTGGTAGCTTTAATCTTCTCCTTCAACTTATAAAATGGAGTCCCAAGGCAGGGTGTGCTCCAGGCTTTTTGAACAATGTCAGAGACCCCTTCTTTAGCTAACCATCTTTTATCAAAGTGGAATCTGCTCTTCTTTCTGTCTTTCTTCTCTCCAGAGTTCAAAACCAGCATAGAATGGTCAGAGGCAGATTTGGCACAGTTAGAAATAGAGGCTTGGGGGTGGCAGTTTAGCCAATCTTCAGATGCAAATCCCCTATCAAGCTTAGCCTCAATCAAGCCTTCAGCAAGTCTATTATTGCACCATGTGAATTTGTAGCCCACCATTTTTATTTCCTCCATCCTCATGTGGTTAATAAAGGTGTTAAAGCCAGTCAGACTGAAAGGAGACCTGAGATTTCCTCCTGATTTATCTTCATTTCTGCGGATATCATTCCAATCACCCAAGATGTGCCACATATGACCCCAGGAATGTTGATCAATCTTCAATTCTTCCCATTGAACAAGTCTGATCTGAGGGTTGGTACTAATGTAGACAAAGATACCCCAAGTTGGTTCAGAGTCTGCCAATTTGTATTCAATAGCAATGTAAAATGATTTTTTGACTACTTGGATCATCTGCACTTCAGTAGTCCAGCAGAGAAGCAATCCACCACTAATCCCAATGGGGTCCACCAAGGAATATCTGTTATCAAATCCCAGTTTTCTAACTACAGACTTAACAAAAGCAGCTGATTTTTTAGTTTCAGACAAAAAAGTAAAAACAGGGTGGTGAGTTCTAAGAGACTCTCGGATTTGGGAAATTGTAGAGGGCCCACCCAGCCCTCTAAAATTCCACACCACGGCTAACATTGGTCACTGGGCTGCCATTCAAGGCTGGCAACCCCCACCTTCTCCACATTCTCAGCTAAAGAAGAACTATCATTCACCTTAACAAACTTTGTACTTTTAGAAAGATCAAGAGACTCACCATCTGAGGAAGGCCTTTTAAAACCAGAGATATGATCAATAACAATAGGAATAGATGGCTCCCTTTGTAATCTGCCCGATTTTGAACCAAGTCTTTTCCAAGTCCTAGTGAGAGGAACTGAGAGCTGCATCTGTTGATCAGCCAAGTTAGGAGGATTATTTTCTCCATATTTCTCCACTGCCATCACGGTAGAAGGATCCACCAACTGGAGTTCTGATTCCACAAGGGCCTCTTTACTGGCTGATATTTGAAGTGTAGAAGAGGTAGAAGAGGCTGAGGCAATCATTCCAGGGTTTAAGATTATTTGGTTCTTATCTTTTTGAGGAGGTGGAGTGAAAGGCTCCTCCCTTACCTGAACAATCTGGTTGCTTTGAACTGCTTGGCTCGATGAAGCTTTCTGAGAGGTTCTTTGTTCTGAGTCAGAATGAGAGTTCACAGGAGGAGAGTTCCTGGAGCCTGAGAGATTAGTACCCACCCACTTGTAGCCATCAGTGACCCTTAACCAGTCACCATACTGGCCCTCCTTTAAAGAATTGTTCTTGATATCCAGAATTTTCTTGCTGCAGGTACGGTCTAGGTGCCCAATCTTTCCACAATAGTGACACAGGTTAAAAAGCTTTTCATATTTGAATCTCACGCAAACTATTTGATCTCCCAATCTGATCTGAGCAAATCGTGGGATAGGTTCTTCAAGATTAAGAGTGACCAGAAGACGAAGTAATTTACCTCCATGGTTACCTGTGTTGACAATAACCACATTAGTGACCTCCTTGAAGGCTTTACCAATCTTAATCCCCACCTCTGTACTCGTCCAGTTTAGCGGTAAGTTGGCAACCTGCACCCATAGGTTAATTTCCTTGAAAGTGGGATGTTGGCTGTTCAACTGATGAATCCATTCTCTGAGAACCAAGTACTGATTTTCAAAGGTCCAATTTGAGCCGCTGGCAACTCTCTCCTTGTCCTCCATACTATCAAAAATGAATTGAAAATAGTTTGGGCTTAGTTCCTTGACGTCCATCGGCTGATTCAGCTTCCAGATCTGGCTCATAGCTCATTTAATACCGAACCAGCCCGCCGCCCTATCGCCTATAACTTTGCCGAACAAGCTGCGTTTACATTCATCATCGCTAATGTGAATATCTCTTTGAGCAATATCAATAACATTAACTTCCCTATCCGATAAGGAGAAATCATGAAGAAGAGAAGAAAGATCATCATCGTCAGAGGTCTTAGAGCTACTCGCCATACTGGAACCCTAGGAGACGAAAATTCGAGAAAAAAGGGTCAATAGATACCGGAAAACCCCAGGATAAAGGATCTGATGAAAAGAAACAAAAAAACTAGTGGAGAAAGAGGAAGAAACAGAAACAATGGAGGCTCTCAGCGAGAGAATCTAAGCTCCCAGACGAGAGAATCATCAAATGTTTAAACTCTTTAGAATTACTATTTGAATTTTACCTTTATTCAAAAATTGGTGTGACCTTTTAGGTTCACAATTAATACTAGTAGTGGGTTTACAACTCTTTGTAATTTGAGTTAATCTTTATTAACTCTTATTCATGAATTAACCCTTTAATTCATGAACCCACATATCATGGGAACACCTAGCAAGTAGCATGAATCTAGTATTAAGTGAATAGCGAGTAAACCTATTTCGATTACAATTACATACATGTAAAATCCTTTCGACATCTAATTTCCCGATTAAATCTTTAGGTATGATTTTGTCGAAACCAAATTGATTTAATAACTATGATTCAATTTCAAGTTTAGTAATTCGATTATGAATCTCTATTCATCCCGCCTTGGCCAAGGACTTTGAATTACTAACTATGAAACACATAGGAAATTCACTTATCTTCATAAGTGTCGAATCCTTTGTTGGCCACTAACAAACTTCCATACATATTAAGATAATACCCAAAATATCCCTTTATACGATTGTGCTAGCAACCAAAAGGATAAATCAAAGTAAAATGTAATATGCACAAAGTTACCATTGTGCCTCAAGTCTAAGGATCAATCATGTACTATTGTAACATGAAAATACTTATTCGACAAGACAATTCTTTCATTAAGTATTTTCATACGGTCATGTTCAGTGAACTTGTTCTCTAACAAGCACCCACATATATGTACTTGCGTCATACGTTAATGTTGATGGAATGCAACATTCTTATCCGATAAGCATACATACTATGTGCAAGTCTTTCTTGGATTATTCGATATCCCTATCTCGAAACATCCAACGACTTGGAACTGTATTTAAAATCACGGCTTTCAAGGTATGTTCCATGATTACCATCTCTATGCGCAACCATACCTTATAACCATATGTGATCTAGGGATTTTATCTTAAGTGCAATTATATGATAAATGCTTACTCTTAAGATAAAGTAATGCCTTTTAATTAATATAATTCCAATAGATTGTATTTACAAGTATAATACTTCCAATCAAATTGGAACGCCGGGTATACTACTCTAACACAAATATTATCACTATAATTAACCTATATTGAATTGTGCGATTTCAAATACATCAAAAAGTTGATTTTAATAAAAAAAAAAACTTACCTCTTCGAACGAGTCGGTAATGTCAAGTGATATAATCTCGAGCATATACCGCATAACAAAATATCCACATGCTTCTTCTCCCAATTGTTTTCGATACTTGTATGAAAAACATAAAAACATCATTTATACTACACAAATTAAATCGATGCATACAACTAAGAAGGAAATAATATAACTCTCCAAAATAAAAACACCTAACATCATTCAATAAATTTACCTTAAGTGGAACCCATTTAGGCTTCTCTCTTATAAGGTTACGTTTTCCCTTAACCATGAAGTATGCATGAAATGCACTGCAACATAATAAATATTCATATTACTTAAAAGACAAAATAAGCTAAAATGTAAAAGATAATATATTTGAAATTAGCAAAGAAAAGTTAACTACAAAATCGATCTAATTTATCAATTTACAAACATACCTGTTAATCTTGTTTATCAACTCTGTGTTGGGATTTCGTCTCAACGAGCACAACCAAACCACTTTATTTTGTTTGGGACAAAGTATCATCAACTGCAAGTGTTCTCTGTCAATCCAAAAGATAAATGTATTTAATTGGTACAATTTTTAATTTGTATGTCTATATAATGTTAATAAAAATAAAATAAAGCACAGATAAAGTGAATTTTTATATGTTTTTATATTCTTATTCGCTAATGTACGGTGCAAGGATACACTCGTAATTTTCTTCTCCCATTCTTCTCGCAATATACCCTTCTGTCTCTTCCTTACTGTTGCCCCTTGTTTGAATTTTGAGCGGGCACAAAAATCCAATTTTTTTTCTTTATTTCTCGGATTTTTTCAGCACATTATAGAGATACCTGTGGTAACTCAGAAAATAAATAATTTTTAAAAACAAATATAGTGAATAATGTATATACAATACTAAACTATTAAAGATTATTGAATTAAGCATTTAAAATATAAAATTATTACCTCAAATTGCAGATAAAAAGTAGACATAAATGATAAGAAATACTTACATGTTGAAGAATTCAATGATAGAAATGCAAAGTTTTTGACTTTGCAACAACTCCATTATGTCCTTCTGAAATATGTACAAATCTCTTTTCTCTCCAAAAATCTCAGCCGGCATATTTATGCAAATTGGATGTTTTATATAACGTGCCTCCATCCAAAAAGTTGTCACGGCATCTGTCTCAGGTTCGATAATCGGTACTGGTGTCACTGGCTTCGACTGAAATTTATCCTACGAATGAGAAATATATTCATATAAAATTTCCAAGAGAATGTAAGTTCATGAGTTACTCATAAAATGATTTATTTTATTCTAGATAACTCGTACGAAACAAAAAACCATTCAAGACTATAGAGTCAGAAAGATACTATTGTAAGTATTTTTAATTACCTTAGCATTTGCACCTTTAACCAACCTACGAGGCCAAGTAATGAAGTTATTTGGCGCTTCTTCTACGGTTATGACCTCCTCTGTTGGGCATGGCATGGGCGCATCTCCAACGACTACACGTGACACGACAACCCTCACTTCATCCTCATTCATCTTCTTGTGGTGAATGGTTGGCCCAAGATTATTGATACGTCCGTATGCAACCAAATTTTTTTTGGGTTCTCCACATACAACTCGCATTCTTTATCCTCGTTAAGTTCATCCAATGATAACACATTTGGAGCACACCTCTCTGTAGTGCTTTGGATCCTCGGAGAATTAGGACTATGGGCAATCGAAGAACTTTTGCCGATCATCATCGTTATTTCATTTTTCCATTCGTCTTTCACTTCGTCAATCCTATGACTGATGATAGTTTCCATCTCATCTCGCGAGACCATATCTTTCCCACTTGAACAGCTCGACGGCCCAAAGAAGTCCTTGATCCCAACACCCTTCCCTACTCCCCTCACACGCCCGGGATGCTCCGGCTTTCCTAACGCTGTTGCGAGTATATCGTTTCTCCCAACAGGTTTGAAACTGCCATGAGTGCATTGTTCTTTTAAAGAATCCTGCATGAAAGGTTTGAAGAATTTATAAAGAGTATTTATCCATTCATGAATGTACGAGGAACTTAAAATATAAAAACACGTCACTTACAATTTTGTCAGCAACAATTTTGGCTTCCTTTGAGACATAATCTCCTTTCTTTGTTATACGAGCTCTTTTCCATAATTCATGACGAGAAGAAGGAGATGGGGGTGGAATAATTTCGGACGGATCAGTGGAGGTGTAACGCCCTAAAATTTACTAATAAAGGAGAGATACTAGCTTTCGTGTATAAGCTAGCCTTTGTTAATAAATATTCATGTTAATGTTCAAGTCTAAGTTAATCAGTCAGTTAAATTCCAAGATCGACGTTAAGTCGAAAGTATATCTCCGGTTAATTTTATTTATTAACTGAGTCAATAATAGTAATTAATCTCGTTACGTTTATTTTAATAAATGGACGTCAGCAAGTTGGGACTAATTATTTTAATGTCGACGTATTAATTGAATTGAGAATATTCGATTAATCGTCTAAGTTGAGTTCAAGCCAGTTATTGAGTTTCAGTTAAAGTTCGACTATTGGTCGAAAAGTATTTGGTTTAATTATTTCAATAACTGAATAAGTTTTCAGATTTAATTCCAATTTAATTATATAAAAGTGAGTTTAGAATTAATAAGGTTAAGTCAAGATAATATTCGAATTAATATCTGAAGTCAAGTTCCGACCACAATTATATATGTTCGGTCAAGTT